AAAATTAAAAATAAATCTATTAAAAATATACAAAGTGAGTAACTAACTACCGTTGTAAAAGAAAACACTACACACTTCCATCAAAAAAACATGTAAAACACCACACACTTGGACACAAAAGTGGCCCCATGCGTCGACTCACTCTTTCAAGAGCCGCAAACTTCCATCTAATTCAGTTCACACGTCTCTCTGGTGTACATTAGTACTTGAATACGCTCCGTAACTAACGTACGCCCCCTTGCTCACCATACAAACTCACCTCCTCTCGTCACCACTTTCTTCTCATGCTACTGAAACAAGAAAAAAACAAGGAAAAAAACAAAGAAATCTTCCTTATTCCACACTCAACAAACATCTGAGAATCCGCAATTTCATCATTATTAGTAAAATTCTTTGCTTTAATTAATCTTTAATACGAAAAACAGGATTTGTTAGAAAATGGGTTCTCTGCAGATTTTGAATCCCACCCTGTCTCTGTTTTCTATTTCTCAGTCGAATTTCCATGGAAAATTTGATTCCAGGAAGAGAATCCTCAGGTTGAGAAGTAATGGGTGCTCCAGGTATTTTGGAAGCAAACGGTTCAAAATACGTTGCGCAGTTCAGGAAGACGATAACCAAAACAAAGGTGAGTTCTTTAGAACTCCCCTTTTCCAGTTTTGAGGTATTAATTTCTAGACTTATGTTTAAAGCTTCGAAGTTTTTGTTGCAATTCCATTAATGGGTTGAAGCTTTTTGTTGCTTAGAAATGGTTAATTTTCTTTTTTTTTTAATAACATGATATCCAGAACTTTGATTTGACTAACCACAGTCCTGCAAACCACCCTGTCCACAGTTGCTTGGATGGGGACGTTTCATTATGTAATAATTGGAGTGTATTGTTGATTTCTTTTTGTGTTTCTAATAGGTGAAGAACGTCCGGAATCATTGTTTATGAAGGAACTTAAGAAGAGGGGAATAACCCCTACATCATCGCTGGAGGATGCAAAAAGAGGAAACTATGTTGTGGATAAAGAGATGAAAGTGGGGGACGAAGAAGGTGGAGGTTTTTCTAAGGGAAATGCTGTCTCTACTGATTATGAGAGGAACCTGACTAATCAAAGGGAGGAGTCCATGCAACTGAACAGTGAAGGCCTTGAGGTTGATGGCTTTTCTTTAATTTTTTTTTCTTAATCTTTTGGTTAATCTGCCCAACAGCCACTAGGAAAGATTGAAGTTTTTTAACATTTCTGTCCTGTTAAGCATTTTCTGGTTGAAGACAAACATTGTATTCATGCTATGCTAATCTGTTAGGTATATGTTCAAATGCTTTATGGTCACTTGGGGTTTACCCTCCGAGCTCCAAGTGAGCGATGAAGAGGGGATTTTTTTGTTACCCTAAAGAAAAGCCTTTTTTGAAGATGTTACATTCTACATGTTTTATGGTACAATTTCGTTTACTTAATCTTTTGGTTAATCTGCTCGACAGCTACTTGGAAAGATTGAAATTTTTTAGCATTTCTGTCTTGTTAAGCATTTTCTGGTTGAATGCAAACATTGTATGTCATGCTATGCTAATCTATTAGGTATACGTTCAAATGCTTTATGGTCACTTGGGGTTTACCCTCCGAGTTCCAAGTGAGTGATGAAGAGGCTGTTATCCTAAAAGAAAAGCCTTTTTTGAAGTTGTCACATGCTACATGTTTTACGGTACAAATAATTCATGGTAGTTATTTTGTTCCTGTATAATTGTATGCAGTTGAGTGAAGTTGATTCTACTTGTGCTAAAAGTAGTATGTGCGTGCATTTTCTATATGTGTGCTTGTTAGCAGATACAAATCAGGAAATGAAATGTTTTATTCGTTTCAGGGCTTGATTCCTCGGGCTAAACTCTTGCTATCACTTGGAGGAACATTCTTCCTGGCATTTGGACCTTTGATCCTCGTAACTGTAGCGTTCTTTTCTGCTATCTACCTTGTAAGCTTTCTTTCTTTAGCTCTCCAAACTAATTCTTCTCATTAGCCTAGCTAGACCTTTTACGTTATCAAGATATAAGCCAACAATGGTTTAGATTTTTAGTCAATTGGATTTCTTAAAGTGAGTTTGTCATTGCAAACATTCATTTGGTTGGTTAGTAGTTCAACGTTTCGGGTTTTCCTCATATATAAACTCTAGCTCTAGACTCAATTATCACGTGGCTCCATTCTCACCTAAGACTGTGTGTCAATGGTTTCTTGTTGGATTTGCTCTTTTATGTTTAACCCTGACTGCTAAACTTTCTAGTGTTTTCAAATCATTTTTTATGCACACAGTTTTTGTTTTGCCTCAATGTTAACTAACGATTTTCGTCCTTGATCAGTATTTTGGATCATCTTTCGTCCACGATGCTAGCAACAAGACTATATCGCCTCCACAATATATTGACCCGTATGCACTTCTGGAAGATGAAAGGATATCTCAAACAGCCCCACGAATAAACTGAACAGA